GGAGGCGTTGGAGGGGGGTAAAAGGGAGGCATCAAGACGGAGAGTGGTTGAATGTTAGTGGACGACGAGTAGAAGAACTCTCTGTTGTGTCATGGCCGCGGATGTAAAGGGATGATTTGCGATGAGATGGGGAGGGAGGGGAGGGGTGGTGGGATTTATATTCTAGACTTTTTTGTTTTGCAGCATTTCGCAATTCAGAAGCCCATATATACAGAGCACCCATCTATACAGGGCAAAAGGACTTAGAAAAAATGACCTGGAAGCAGAAAAACAACGCTTGATTTCGAAAAAAAAGTACGCATCAACCCTTCCGAAACGCCACCGTGAATTATACATGTACAACGCCTGAAGCCCGCTTGGCTTTTGCGCAATTTCGATGTTTGAAGTGGGAAAAAACTGGAACAAAAAAAAACAAAAAAAAGAATCGCGACAAGCCTAGAAACGCCCAAAAACCATTTCCCATAGAGAGAGAGAGAAGAATAGAAAAAATAAAAAGAAGAAAAAAGAAAAATCCACCTCTTTCATCCTTTAATCATCCACCTCCATACCAATCGACGACATTTTCAACTCAATCTCCGACCGCAGCTGCTTAATCTGACTCTCCAACCTCTGGCGGAGAATCTTGTTTTGCGTCTTTTCCAGGTCCGCGCGGCGGTGCGCGAGCTGTTTCCGGAGATCATTGATAAAGTCCCTTACGCCTTGCGCCTCGTCCCTCGCCGCGCGCTCATCCTCGTCCATGTCCTCGTCATCATCATCATCGTCGTCGTCGTCGTCATTGTCATCCTCGTCCGACTCGTCTTCTTCAGATTCGTCCATTTCAATAGATGGATGCACGGCGGGCGTGTTGCCCTGCGTCGTCATGAGCGGCGTGCCGAGGTCCTCCACGCCTGTGGCGGGCGTCTCCGCTGTCGTCGCCGCCACCATGTCATCCGCAAACGCGGCTTCCAAGTCGGCCTCGAGATCCAAGTCGCCGTCCGCGTCCTCGGCGCCAAAGTAGCCCATCGAGTCGTCCAGCTCGCCCTCTGCGTCTTCGCCCTCTGCATCCTCCTCCTCCTCCTCCGCACCACCCGCACCACCGTCCGCGTTGTTGCCCTCGTCCACCCACTCCCACGCCGTGCGGTCCGCCATCGCGTCCTCGCCCAGCAGCCTTTCCACCTCTTGCTCCTTGTCTTCAATCTCCTTTCTGCTAATCGTCTTGGCGAACCTCCTGTTCACGCAGTCGTGCATCGGCGGCGTCAGCCCGTGCGGCCATTTAAAGCTGCCCGCGTCCACCACGCTCGGCAGCGTCGCCTTTTTCGCCTCCTCCTCCGTCTTGACCATCTGAAACACGAGCAGCATCTGGCACACGTCCGCCGACTTGAGAAAGCTCTTCTTGTCCCACGTCTTCATTGATTCCGTAATCGTCGGCAGATCCACCATGACCGCCGCAAACATCTGCCCCTTGACTGTCACCACCGCGCGCCGCGACTCCTCGTCAAAGAATTTCAGTGAAATCTGCGCGCCTCCCTGCTGCCGGCTCACGCCCACCTTGCCCGCCTCCATCATTGCCCGCACGTAGTCGCTGTGCTCGCCCGGCACCATCCGCAGTATAAACTGCTCCTCAATCGCCGGGTCCAGTTCGCGGTCGCTCGCCTCTGAATCGTACCCATCGCCTGGAGGGTGCACCGGCGGCCGCCCACGCGCCTTCAATACCAGCTGCGTGTGCGCGCCCCCACCGGCGGCCGCAGCGGCCTTGGCTTGTCGAATCTTGATCTTGGTCGCAGGCGGCGCCGAGGCCGCCAGCGGCGCGTCGTCGTCGTCATCTTCGTCGCGCTGTCGCTTCTTGCTTTCCACGAGCTTCTGAGTCGGCTTCGACTGCCGTCCCGCTTTAGTCTTGACGGGGGTCGCGTGGTCGATGCCCGGCGTGGCGGGAGTCGAGCCGCTGAGCTTGAGCTTCACTTTGCGCGAGCCGCCGCCCTCGCCAGGAGTCGCCGCTGCAGCTGACGGCGGTGTGTCGGTGATGAAAGAAGTGGATCGGTTCACGTTAATCTTGAGGCGCGGTTTTGGGGGCCCCGCGGGCGTGCCTGGTCCCGCGTCGGCCATTTTTTGAATGTTGGTTTGGTTGATGGAAGATGGAAGTTAGAAAACAGGTAGAGAGTTGCGATGCAGTTGCTTGAAAGTGGGGCTGCGTCGACGCTCCCGCGTGTACGACACCAAGCCGAGAGAATACTATTCTTGAATATATCTAAAAGGAGTCAAACAGTCTGCTTTTATTGAAACGAGCTGAAGATATTTCAGGACGCAAAAATTAATCATCCAAAAATGTCTGTATTGTGTTTTTGGCATGGCTGAGCCAGGAGTATAATTTGAAGGCCATTTGATAGGTATCTATCGAGGCCCTCTGGCCAATGCCAGTTCTACCAGCCCTTAAATGTGCACGCAATGCAACTAATGATATATGTAAATGCCAAAACGCCATGTAATGCTCAACAAGAAGGAAACAGAAACGAATGCAGTATAATTAGAGGTCAAGGCCTCGCCACCCATAGTTGCCGTCCACATTGATCCATGTGCCGGCCTCGATACCATCCCATCCCATCATGACTCCAAGAATTCTACATCCCATGGCACTGACTGCGCAGACGACCTTGTCGCCAGCTCCGGAAAGCACGGCAAGGTCCATCATATACGCGCGGCCGAGAAGGCTGCGGAGTTTGAGGGTCTGCTGAGAGGGCTTCAATCTAGAGACAGCTCTGTTTTCGGATAAATAGGGAGTGGCTGCTGGTGCGTTGGCAGAATTGTCCTTGGACTCGGAGCCCAAGTGCCAGAAGATGGGAGCAAAGAAACCGCCCTCCCAGCCAAAAGTATCTTCGACGAAATGGTGCAGCACACGCGGATCGTTTGTTGCATCCTCGATGTTATCCTTGGAAGCCAGCTGAATTCGATCCTGTGCGGGTAAGAGACTGGACAGTTCGTCCTCTTGGTATGTGTGAGGGTCGTCAGACGCAAGCATGGTGATGGAGTCACGAGCACCCTTGTAGTTGATGCCAGCAGTCTTGTTGTAGTATTCGTCAATGAGATGGTGCACTTTGCTCAGGTAGACCTCGGCCGGTATGTAGGTATCCTTGTATTGGAACTCTAGCGGGTGTCTGTCACCATGACGAATGTGCAGGCCAACAATAGGGGCATCAAACGAGGATGTAGAATCAGCCTTGGCCTTGGTCCGAATATCACGAATGCGCTTCTCGGTATAAGCTTCGTCGGCCTTGTTTAGTTTGAACAGTGCCGAGTAGCCGGCCCTAGCCAATTTGAAGAGTTGTTGTGTCTCACTGATCTTGCGGCCAGACTCGATATTGGCCAGTAATGTGGGCAGAATCTCCTCGGCATTGGTGTTGGAAATAACCAAGTGTCGGGCCTCGGCCGGACAAGGCAGAATGTGATGTCGCGGCGGTGGCTGGCATTTGGGCGTAGGAGGTGCCTGGAAGATGTCGGTGTATGAACCGTAAGCCCATCGGGAGTCATCTATGAAAAAGGATTTTCCAAGTTCCTTGGCAATGCCGTACGAGGTCCACATGAACATGAGAGCATGGCCAATACCAGCGTTTGTGCTTTCGAGGACGTATGTGATGGAGCTCTGGCAAATGGGAAGATGGCTGAACTCGCCATCTAGGCCAACGAAGCTTCCACTTCGCGAGCGCTTGGAAGGTAAAACGTCTGATGACGGTAGAAGGTGCGTCTTTTCCGCCTCGGCAACGTCAACAAAGCGATTGGATGCATGCTTCTTTAATGGAGCTTGGCTAGAAGAAGGCCCCGAGTCAGAGGTCTGGCGAACGGCAGCCTCGCGACAGTGTCCCATCATTTCCGAGTAATCCTCCATGGAAAGGGGGAAACGGTAGTTTCTAGGGATCGAAACAGTCCACTTTGAGCGGCCTCGGTTGTCGTCGATGACAATGGGAGTGGGAAAGTCGGGCAAGTCATCCTGGGCAACCATATTGTACTCTTGTTCGAAGAGGGAAAGTGAGCTGACATTATTGCCGAATAATCGGACAAGCACGTATCCAAAGCCCGAGAATAAGCACAAGTAGAGAAGAAATCGGACAATCCGTCTCGGATGACGGGAGAAAGGATTTGAGGAGGCCCGTTTGCGTCGAGGGACGAGTGACGGCAGACTGGGCGAGGGAGGCGGAGACCAGAGGAGGCTGCTGAGAGGTGGCTGACTAGACGATGAGGAGGCAGAATCCTGGCCCTGAGCGCGCTCGTGAAGGTTGTAAGAGGCGGCTCGACGAAGATTGATTCGCGGGGGGACGACCAGCAGCCGAGAGTCGGAAAGATCAAGTTGCGGCGTCATCTTGACGTGAGAAGGTACAGACAAGAAGTGAAAGAATATACGAAAAATCGATCAACGAAATAAAGTGATCTTTGAAGCAGCTTTTCCGTAGGAAAAAACTGCTTGAAGAAGGCCAGCCGGGGAAAAAAAAAGAAAACCAAAAAAGACGTAACAGACAATCCAGCAACAAGAGGCGACAGCGGCCTGTTGGCTGACTAGAGTCCGACCGGCGGGCAGATGAGAGAAGGAAGAATGAAAAAGTCGGGACCTTTCTCGTGTTCGTTGGCCGGTATTGAACAAGTGTTGCGGATTGAGGGCTATAAGCCAGGGCCGTCTTAGCAGACGTGGGATTGAAACATCCGAGTCTAAGAGAGACGTCTGTTCATGCGACCTGCGCCAGGACCCTCAATGGAGAAGAGATGCGACGTGATGAGGCAGGCAAGAAAAAAAGGGAATGAGCCGGGGAAAAAAAAGGCGTTTGAATGGGGACCCTTTATTCGAATGTTTATTCGTTTCGTAATGTCTTTTTCATTTATTTTCTTTGAACCGTTTCTTTTTTTGAGGGGGCGTTCGCACGAGATGAAACGAGAGCCGCCGGGGGTCGGACCAGTGGGCGGGCGAGCTGGGGTGAGGCGTCGGAGCGGGGGCTTTTGTACCAGTCGGCGAGTGTGCAGAGGGGTGTTTTTCGTGGCGTTGAAGTCGAGAAAATAGGTGGAAGAAGTAGATGAAGAAGAGAAAGGAGAGAAAAACGTGGCGATGGAAACAGTCGAGCTGCAGGATGATGTAGAAAGGAGAAAAAAAAAAAAAAAAAAGGCTCGAGGCTGCCGGCCCGTCAACGTGAGTGGCAAACGGCGGACCACCAAAAAAGGGCAGGAGGAGGAGAGACGAGGAATGACAGGGCCAATATTGTTGCAGCACAAACGAATGCAGAAACGGCCCCTGTACACGAACAAGAAAAGGGTAAATGAGACGAAAAAAGATCAAGAAATGGATGGGATGGAATGCATGCACGAAGCATCGCAGAAATTTACGCCAGGCTTGATGGTACGGGTTACAAAGGTCGGCGTGGTCGTTGGGAGTTAGACGCAGCAGCGATCGGCCGCTAGCCACCAACCACCGGCCCCTGTCCGGCCGCTACAACAGGGTTCTGCCATGCTTTGTTTCCCCACTAGTTTCACGGCAAGGGCGCGGACGCTTTTAAAATTTTGAACATGGGTTGATGGGTAATGACGTTTTTGTCTTGAAGCAGTCATCACAGTTGGTGATTGACGCGGAGGCAATTTGCTCATGCGAGAGGAGGCGGTCGGGCGTCGAAAAGTAAGAACGAGCCCGTGTTTTTCATGCAGGCGGGATGCTTCAACAGCTCATGGCTTGCGATTCCCCACTTGCGTCTGCTCTCTGGGCCATTCCAAGAATAGATGGGTATTTAATAATGATGAATGCCTTATAAATCTGCGGCAAACTTTAAGAGCATGTGCTAATCTACATGTATCAATCAACACTGCCGGTGTTTTTTTTTTCTTTTCTAACCGGACTTGACAAGCATACAAGTCTCGTATAGATACTTGCTATTCATATATACATACATTTATATACACACACACACGCAATCCGATCCACCTTGTCCTCCAAATCCTGGACATACGACCACAAGACACGTACCATCTCCATATTACCCAGCCTCTCGAGATTCAGAGCCGAGGCGGTGCAACACCCCAAGTCAAGTCTCTTCTTTTTTTTATTCTTTTTTCTTTCTGCCTTGTAAGCATCATGGCTTTTTTTTTTCCCTTGTTTGATCCCACCTGCCCCGACTAGCGCCGTTTCATCTTGCTCCGAGAGCCTTGCTGTGCGACCAATCACGCCTCTCGAATCCAAGGACCGCATTGTACACTTATGCACAACAAGGGCTTAAATTCGTGCTCTTTGATATATATTTTATTTTTCGCATTATGAAAACCTGGATGGGCTACACATACTTTGTATTGTGTACTAATTTCTTACTTTTTTTTTTCTTCAGCATCGCGCACGTACCAGCTCCCTTCCTCTCAGCTCCTCTCGCCCCTCCTCAAAAAGCCCGAGACCCTCGATTGTGTGGAGGAATGACCAGTGATCACTGATAACCACCAACTACATACCCAGGTGCGCATAAACTTCATTGAGCGGTCCCGTTTACGGCCAACGATTAAACTTTTGGACCTGATCACGACTGTCAACCACCATCAAAACTTTCCTTGATATTCCTGTTTCCATGTGCGCACCATCCTCCCTTGCGGCAACTAAAACCTTAGTTTAGCTTCCAGCCG